GAGAGAGAGAAAGAGAGAGAGATGTATGATGGAATGATAATGAGGAATGAAGACCTTTCCAAGAATTGTCTGGAACCTGACTATTTTGAAAGAATTTACCCTTGACAAAAGAATGATGTTAAGCCTAGGCATAAAGCCCTGTTCCTTAACTCCTCTTATTGGTAAATCAGTCTGAGGTGTGACAAAAGAATGATGTTAAGCCTAGGCATTTTCATTCTCCCATAAAGCCCTGTTCCTTAACTCGTCTTATTGGTAAATCATTCTGAGGTAGAGAGTGAAGTAATTAACCAGTCCCATCTTACTGGCTTTCATAGTATCCTGTTGAGTTTGGTTGTGTAGAAGGCCAATTTTAATTTATCTGGGATACTGATTACTAACAAGTACTGTATAATCACATTATAGATTGGGGACTGACAATGATGCCTGAGCTTCATTAGGGTTTCTGTTAGCTGCTAGGCTAAAAGCTTATTGTGTTTGTTAAGTTCTGCTGGTAGACAACACAGTTTTCATATTCTCTTTGGAGATAATCTGTTGTATTTCTCTTTTTCATTTTTAACCCTTGGCAGTGGAGGGAGGGGGAGAGCCAGAATGAAAGACAGCCTTTGTAGCTTAACGTACTACACATATCTGTGTTTTACAGTCATTTATTACTTGCTACATGTACATAAATTAAGTATAGGGTGTTGTATTAGGATGTTGGGAAAGTTAATTGCACAGAATGCCAAAGCAGAACACTCTCTGGGGTTCAGTTTAGCTGCACATCAGTGGCTAAAGCATTAAGTTTAGTTAAATGAGTTACACCTTCTCTCGTGGCTGTGTTCTATTTGTAGCCAGAGGTATAACATCTTGTTCTTGTTTGTCAAAGTGAGACAGACACAGAGAGTTCCTGGGCTAAGTTATTGCTGTTTTAAAATGCTGCCTCTTTGGTATGAAATTATTTTTAAAAAATGTTATGCCGTTTCAGATGTTACTGGTCTAAAAATATATTCTTCCATCTACCTAATTAAGTAAGGATTTTCAGGCAATGAATTTGTTTCGCCTGGACTGCTGTAAGTCTCTCTTTAAGAAATAATCTGGAGGAAAGGATCTGATGGAATGTGGTAGCTAAGACAGTGAGCTATGAAGTTGGTTCTTATTAACAACATTTTCATGTTGTCCCATTTTAAGAAGTCCTTTTGTTGCTTATGAGCGAGGATAAAAATAGTATAAATGCAGAATGAGTCATAACAACTGTACAATCAAAAGCAAAATCTGCTGTCCATATGCCACCCCATACTGCTTAAAGCACTCTCTCAATGGGTTACAGCATAATTATGCAGGGTTTACATTGCTTCCCCCTGTGAGCTGAGTACTTAGTTTACCAACTTCAGAAAGATGGAAGGCTAAGTCAACCCTGAGCTGGTTACCTGAATTCATTGGGATTGAATTTAGGTCATGAGCAGAGTCTTGACTGCAGTACAGCAGTTTAACCACTGCACCACAAGGCTCTAAAAGCAGGATACAGTGGCAGAAATTAAAGCTCAAGCAACCCCAGAATTAAAATGCATGTTTTTAAAACTGAGAAGCTCAAGTTCCATTCAATATTTAAAAGGCAAGGGTAAATGGAAAGTTTTTCAGCTGATAATGAAAAGATGACAAAAATAACACAAGGTGAGCTTTTCTGGGAATAATGTTCTGTAAATGGAATACCACTGCCCAAAGGCCCCTTTTCTGGCATTCAGCTATGTATCTCTGTTCATATGGTGGGGGCTCTCAGAGGAAGGCAGGGCCTTTGGAAATCTTAAAGTTTGGGTGGCCTCCAAACTGATTATGTCTTTAAAGGGTAAAGCCATCTTGGAAACAGATGAGAAACCAATACAATTGACAACATTTGAAAAGTAAAACAGCCTCCTCCAGGTCAATAATATTATATTCATATTCTTGATGAGCTGTACTTTCTAAACATTTTTAAAGGCAGCTGCATGCCTTTTACACATTGCAGTACAGTCTACCTAGCTAGTCCATCTAAGAATCTGATTGCAACAAGGGTAACTCTGGCTGAAGTATCTTCATCCAGCTGTATGATCACAAAGAGCACATCACAGCTGCGGGTCTGATCCTTTCAGGCAAATGAGCTTTATTTAGGACCGTCTGGACACCATTCACTCAGGTGGATGAACTGCCAGCCAAGAGTTCCTTAGTTTTGTCTGAATTGAGTCTCGGTTTGTTTTATCATTGTTGAGCCAATTGGCATGCCTAAGTATAGTTTTACCTGTGTCTCATGGAAAAGACAGGTAACATGTGGATGAACTGCCAGCCAAGAGTTCCTTAGCTTTGTCTGAATTGAGTCTCAGTTTGTTTTATCATTGTTGACCCAATTGGCATGCCTAAGTATAGCTTTACCTGCGTCTCATGGAAAAGACAGGTAACATGGGTATTGTTAGCAAATCGGTGACATCTCGGATTGACTGTCTGGATGACCTCCCCCAGCTGTTTACAGCGATGTTGATCAGTATGAGAAGAAGATGTCTAAGAATTCTTGGAACGCAAATCGGTGACATCTCGGATTGACTGTCCGGATGACCTCCCCCAGCTGTTTACAGAGATGTTGATCAGTATGAGATGTCTAAGAATTCTTGGAAAAATGATTGCCAAGAGGCTTAGGAGTAATCCCAGCACCAGCACCCATCCAAGTAAGAACAGAATTTATCACAAAGCTGTGCCTCCTTTAACATGGGCACCCTGTCCAGGAGGGTATCTTTATTGTTGACACTGACACAGCTGGGATAACCAAATGTCTCACATCCTCCAGTCTTTCTCTTGAAAGGGTTCACTAGCTATCTAAGAGAGCTTCTATAAGCAGACCAATGTGATTGGTATCATTATTTTGGAAGAAGGCATGGCTGGGTGCAACACTCCACTCTGCAAAATATGTCTGTCTGTCTGTCTGTCTGTCAATTGGTTTTGCAGTTGTTGTAAGTGGTGGTGGGATTTTTAATGTAGTTTTCTTACAGTTAACTGTGTGTAAGATTGAATTAGAACATAAAAACGGTTGTTAGTCCTAACTAGATTAATTTTAGAAGTCAACATTTTTCAGCCCCCTCCAGTGCAGTAGTATTGATTCAGTAAGACTAACAAGTAGATAATGCATATAAAGCACTTTAAATGCTAGAGAAAACCCTATGCAAGTTTTAAGACTCTTAAGTACTGTACTAGCATAGCAAATTACTCTGCCTGGTAGGTAAATCTATTAAATAGGTAAGAACATTGTGTACATTTCAGTGGTTCAGTGGGTCTATGCTGGTTGGATCTAACAACTGGATTTAGGTCAAGAGTTTTTCCCATTGCATTTGCTGTCTCAAAGCCCATTATGAACTTCTTTTCAAACATAAGAGCCGAACACTTTTCAATATTTATATAATAAGCAAGATATTATGCATCAACCCTGTAGCTTACTTTATACCTTAGTTTAAATTATTCTTGCTGTTGGCTGAAAAGATAAGGTATTGTTACAATTGATTTATTCAAATACATTTGCAGACCAGAATCAGTGGTGGAAGTTAGAAAGAAAAGGGATTTTAAAAACTACTTAAGTTCCTGAAGTTAGAAGGAACAGAAAACAAGAACTGATTGGAATATCATTGAAATCCATGAAAAATAATTTTTAAAAAATAAGAGTAAAATTTAGGTTATTCATGTGAAATAAGTGAAATTATCTTTGGTTTCAGTTAGCCAGCACCTGATGTTCAGCCCGTATTCATACGTTGTCCTTGACTGAAATCACAGTAAAATGTTTTTCAATTTCTGAAGTCTGACTTGACTGGATTAAGATGGGAATATTGTGATCCAGCCTTTGAGTCTTAAGTGCTTGGTATAAATACATACATAGCAAGATGTCAAATGGGCAGTGAAATTTGCTTAGAACAACATTGTTTTCTTTCTGTAACAATATGCCATCTTATTGAATGTTTATGGTATGCCAGTGCTCTTCGTGTTAACAGCTTTTGAGGAACACTTTGAGTCTGCAACTCATTTGCGGGTATCAGTCCATCCTGCTTTAAAGTAGTCTCAGCAGTGGGCCTTGTGAAACACATGGCTTATGAGCTAGAATTTACAAGCCTGATATATAATCTTTAGTACTATGTTTGTTCATTAAGGCTGCTACTGTATATATTTTTCATACTTGCATCTCTGTTTTCCTTCTGTGACTTAAAAGCAGCCATTTTGTTTTCACAAAAGCCAAGTGAGATAGGCTAGCCTAAGAGAATGACCAGGAAATTTTAAAAGTACCACATTCTGTTGAGGGATGTGGTGGCGCTGCCGGCTAAACCGCAGAAGCCTGTGCTGCAGGGTCAGAAAACCAAGCAGTCGTAAGATCGAATCCACGCGACGGAGTGAGCTCCCGTCGCTTATCCCAGCTCCCGCCAGCCTAGCGGTTCGAAAACATACAAATGCAAGTAGATCAATAGGGACCACTTTCGTGGGAAGGTAACAGTGTTCCGTGTCTAAGTCGCACTGGCCATGGGACCATGGAAGATTGTCTTCAGACAAAACGCTGGCTCTATGGCTTGGAAACGGGGATGAGCACCGCCCCCTAGAGTCGAACACGACTGGACAAAAATTGTCAAGGGGAACCTTTACCTGTACCTCTTTTTTTTTACCACATTCTGTTAATTGTTATTGTTTTAGACATAGAGATGAAGATCTTATCTTATGAATTCCTCCTGATTTTTAGCTATCAAACTCTTAGACTAGGTACAGTGGTGGCAAGTGGGGGCTACTTACTACACCTTCTACCATTTGTGCAACGTTCTTCTGGAAACAATGGGCAGATATAAGAGGCAGGTAGGTATTCAACAGGTTGAGAATTGCTGTTCAGTCACAGAGAAACAGCATCCAGCATCCTCATTTTCTCTCACTGCATACCATTTCATAAATGTTGGCATTGTTAGTATTGTTTTCTTCCTGTATAGTCTGGAATCTTTTTCTTTTCTATTTTTGAATTTATCTTTCTTCCACAGACTTAGTCCCGTCGATCATGAGTAACTTGCTGAATCCAGATGCTATTTTTTCCAACAATGAAATGAGTCTCTCGGACATAGAAATCTATGGCTTTGATTATGATTACACCCTAGTCTTCTATTCGAAACATTTGCACACATTGATCTTTAATGCTGCCCGAGATCTTTTAATCAATGAACATCGGGTAAGTTTTTTAAAGTATTTGTTTTAATTATCTAGAAACCTCTATTTACAGCTAGTTCTTTGTCATCTTTTCTCTCTGTCATAATAAGCCAAAATACTAAAAAAATTCTGGTGTACTAATTAATGCACACTGCCCAGTTGTTCCTGTTGCAACAGAGAGCAGCTAAATAAGCATGGGTCTTCCATCCCTGGTTTGTTTTCTTGTGTCTTATGAAGCTAGGGCTCTCTCTTGTCTCCCTGGCAATCCAATATCATAAGTCATGGTTTGGCTTATAACTGTGGGGAGGAGACAAGGCAGAGCGCCAAGTTTGGATATTGTAGTAAAGAAACCTGAAGAGTTTGTGGGTGTTTTTCCCCAGGACTCCTCCCATTTGGCAGTAGAAGTGACTGGGCAATGCAGATAAACACACAGCACATAAATGACAAATCAGGGCAAACCTTCATGTACTGTGACAAGCAGCAGAAATGAATACGGGTCTGTACACTTTGTCAGACATTGTAATTTCAGTCTTGTGTCATTTGGGGTTGTAAATTGTTTTAATCTGCATTGTAAATCACATTATTCTTGGAGACAACACAGAAGTAGAAACTTTATGGGGTTTTCTTAGTGTGTGAAAATTTATTTCTACTTATTGTAATTGTGTAATAGTAATGTATGGAGATCCAAAATGCCAGTGCACACTTTACGGCACTCCAACAAGTTGACACAGAAAACAATGTATCTTCCCTAGTAAAAACAGGTGCAGTATTTGAGGTTAACTTCATTGTCGTAGAACTTTAGGCAAAGTTGCTCTCCTCCACTAACAGAAAATCAGATATTAATCCCCTCTTATGCTATCTTGTCTGAGAGTTCTCAGCATGTGTTAGGCACTTCCGAGAGTGAATTTCAGAGCAAAGGTCAGTGGCTGTGTGTACAAGTCTATAAATATATCTGTAGTAGTAAATAGAAAATTAGATCTTAACTCATAGATAGACCTGTTACAGTTCTCCAGAAATATTGGTGCTAATATTTTGTTTTTTCCATGCCAATATTCGTAGAATTATTTCTGTATCCAACTTCTGAATGTGTGGTTTCCATGTGAACTCTGTTCTAGGGCACAGAATAGAGGATACCAGGAAAAAAATATGGGCTTTCCTTTGAATCATATTGATCTGTGATGTAAAGGATGGTCTGTCTATATTTGAGGGTAGAAGGTAGATTATCATCAAGGGGACAGGGGGCCTGCATGGCTGCATTGCGCCATCCCCGTCAATAGGTGGACCCCCTCCCGGCCCCATAAAGCCACTGGAGTCAAAGCTGGCAGCCTCTGCTGTCTGAGATCGCAGCTGCCGGTAACCGCGCTTGGAGCGGGGCTGCGGAGGATGGCTAGGGCTGCCCCCCCATGCGGCCCAAACCAAATTTATGTGCGGCCCAAACCAAATTTTCATCTTCTAATGTGGCCCAGGGAAGGTGAAAGGTTGGACACCCCTGGAATAGAGGATACCAGGAAAAAAAATATGGACTTTCCTTTGAATCATATTAATCTGTGATGTAAAGGACGGTCCGTCCATATTTGAGGGTAGAAGGTAGATTATCATCAAGTGAAGGTTTGTGTATCACTGAAAGAAACAAATACAGAGAATTTCTTATACAACATCCTGTTTTACAAAACTGTTAACATGTTTTGCTGGAACAGACATAAGGAATGAGAGTCTGAATCTAGAATTAACCTTTCTGTGAACTTTCTTAAGCTTACTTGTCTATATTGAAGCATTCTTACAATGTTGGTTAGATAAAATTGTAGTGTACAGTTTTCTCCTGCCTCTTTCTCCTGATAATTTCAACTGGTAGCCAATGTTTTTGCAGTAGTTGATCCCTATAAGACACTTTAATCTGTTGGGATGGTATAAAAATGGGAAAGAAAGCCTTTGAAAACGAATGTCTGTAGCAAAAGCCCTGACCCCATTAATGATGATAATCTGGTATTGTTGCTGTGGCCTAGAAGAAAATATTAAAGGCACATTACCAGGATTGTTGTCTGTGCAAAGAGAAATTTATTTTACTCAGAATAAAGTTTACAAAATAATGTGGAAGTATGCATTTGTTGCGCGAAGGTACATAATTTGAAGTATTTGATATGTCTTGAGTTTTTGTACAATTATCTGTTGGAGTCTTTTCCCCAAGGAATTGTGGGGGAAAGCAAATAGAGAGCAGAGAGAAACAGAACCCATCAAATTCCATTGATTCAAATGGGCTTACTCTAATTGCAATTTACTTTAGCATTGTCAGTTGCAGTTAGAGTTGGCCCATTTGAATCAATGAAACATGTGGAGGACTTACCTCACTATATCCCACTGATTCATATTCTAGTTCACTGATTCAGTGGGTCTGTGCTAAGGAATAGGACTTTGGCCATGGACAGGTAACAAGATGGGTGCTTTTAGCTGCCGGATAGTTCAGTGTTTAGATATGTGGCCGTGGTGCCAGAGTTTGGGAGTTGGATTCACCGCTGTGCCTCTTTGGCAGGGGCTGGGCTCAATGATCCATAGGGTCCCTTCCAGCTCTGTAGTTCTAAGATTTTCACAGAGTTATTTGGATAAGTGCTTAGCCTTCTGCTGCCTAAGATCCATAGCACTGCAAAAACACAACCTTTTGCTTCTAAAATTAAATAAATAAATAAATAAAAACACAACCTTTTGCTTCTGTTTCCCTCTGATTTAAGTTCTATACCCACATATGACAAAAATTTGTCATATTATAGACTGGAGCCCCATTTTCCTGCAGTTCTTAAGATTTTGTATTGGGTACTGTGCCTTGCAAAAGCACATATATTATTGCAGAACATTCTAAGGATCTGGAAGAGCTAGTTCTAGATCTGGTCCCTGTGTTCGTCTCTTTGGGAGTATCATAGGAATACAACTAGAAACTATAGGCCCTACCAGATAAAATAGTAAGCAGCTGAGTTTTACTTGTCAACATTATTGAAAGAACCAGTTTCAGGGAGGTGTGATGTATGTAACCTTAGTGAGATGTGACTGGTTTCGTGAATTAGATGTAATCTTTACAAATGACTTCAGGGCTTTACAGAAATTTCCCGACTTGTACAGAGCCATAGTGGACAAACAAAAGAAAAAGTGATTACTAGATTTGTAAAGCCGATAAAGCCCTTCACGGTTTGGGACTGCGTTATCTGTTGGAGCATCTTTCCCCAACGTCATCTGCCTGTACCATATTCTCAGGCTATGCTGCTCTGGGTGGCTGTGCTGGAGGAGGCCAGGAAATCTTCCACAAAATAAAATAAAATAAAAAAAGCAGGTCTTATGGGCATTGGCACCATCCTTGTGGAATTGCCTCCTAGTGGAGCTGTGCCTCCCCCCCTCCAGTTTAAAGAAGCTTCTGAAGACATTTCTTTTTCAGGAGGCTTTTGAAGACAGTCTCTTTTGAACTCTTCCCTCCCCCCGCCCATTTCCACTACTTTGCGCCTTTGGAGCTTACACCAGGTTTTTGGCCTTGTTTTGTGCTATTTCTCTGGTTTTATTTATCTTGCTGTTTTATGTAAATCACTCAGAATAGTGCTGTGCACTAATGGGGCACTGTAGAAGCACCACATAGACGCATCAATCAGTGAACAGAGTTGTTGAGCTGTATTTCATGTGACTTGTGTATTAAAATCTATGCAATTTTCAAATATTTACCTTGCTAGTATCCTGCAGAAATCCGGAAGTATGATTATGATCCAAATTTTGCAATAAGAGGTCTTCATTATGACGTACATCGGGTAGGTACATAAATAAATAACATTACATTGTGTGTGTGTGTGGTTGTGTGCGCGCATGTGCATGCACGCACGCAAAGGTTATGCTGTTAGCTCAAGAAATCTGGTTTCATCATCATTTGAGAGGAGCTTGTGTGTGTGTGTGTGTGTGTAGTGTGTGTGCGCACGTGCATGCACGCACGGACGCAAAGGTTATACTGTTAGCTCAAGAAATCTGGTTCCATCATCATTTGAGAGGAGGTGCAAATAATTACAGCATACCTTGTCAAATATTATTTGTGGTCTAATTTGGAACAGAATTTTTATTTATTATTTTGAATTATTTATGCTCTACCACCTAACAAAACATCTTAAGTTGCAGTATTTGGAAAATTTAATGTTAATAATTTTTTTGGGTGGCGGGACTTGATCTTTGAAATCAATTGGGATATTGTAATCATGCCATATTTTAAAATTATAATGAACCATTTGTTATCGTTCACTGTTCCTAATTCATGAGGCTACATCATTGTACTTAGCATTGCTTCTTGTCTACAGCTTTGAGACAAATAAAAGGATTAGATGCCCTAGATTCCCCCCCCCCCACTTCTCTATTTTGCCACCCTCTCTCTACCTTGTGGGATTTATTGCCCTAAGATGTAATGCTCGCTTTAAAAAGTGATTGCCCAGATTTATGGAGGCTGAGGCTGTACATGGTAACTATTCATGATAGCTATGTATTACTTTTGGTGTCATAGGTGGTATACCTTGAATATGGATCAATGGGAAACACAAACAAGAATGCTGTTGCAATCATATTGTGGGCTTCTTCTAGACATCTGTTTGGTTACTGTAAGAACAGAACATTGAACTAGCTAGGAACTTGGTCAGAGTTCTGATGTGGATGTTTATGTCCTTACCTTCCTAAAATTGATTCTTGAGCATTAACGGACTCCTCTAGATGGGACTTCATGGGTCTAATTATTGGAATGTGGGAGTATCATGGGGAAGGACCTTTCAGGTTTCTAGTATTATCCAGAAACTGCAAGCTGTATCCTGCCCAGTAATAACCATGTGCTATCAACTGGATTCTGCCTTCTGAAAGCCCTTATCAGGGTTTCCTGGGTATAAAGTACTCAGAAGTAGTTTACTACTCCGTTCTTGTGGTGGTGCTCTCAGACTGTGGAGCTTGTCTGAGGCTGCCTCTTCTCCCAGGCGGCACAGATGGAACTCTTGAATTCTGCCCTCTGCAGTCAAGTACTCCAACTCACTGAGCTATACAGACAGCTATACAGTTGTTATGCTGCTGTTCCAACAAACATTCTGTTTAGAATTAATTAGTTACAAATTAAATGACTGTAGATAATGTAGTAATGATCAATATTTCGTTAAGAGCATTGTGTATATTTTAAATGTTGCCTGAAAATTGTTTTGTTTTAAAGGCGTTGTTGATGAAGATCGATGCTTTTCATTATATTCAGTTAGGAACTGTGTACAGGTGAGTTTAATTTGCACAAATTCTTCATTGGGAGACTTTTTCAGTTGGGGAGGGGAGTTGAGCATTAAAAATTACTATTGGTTGCAATATAAAGAATAATCATGTGCTGATTAACTCTTACAGCGACCCCTTTCAGGGCTTCCCAGGTAGAGTGTACCCAGAAGTGGTTTACCATTCTCTTCTTCTGGAGGTGTTCTGGGACTGTGCAGCTTGTCCAAGGCTACACAGGCTGGCTCTTCTTGCAGGATGCACAGTGGGGAATTAACTCCCAACCTCTGCCTCTGTAGTCAGATATCTAAACCACTGAGCTGTATTGCAAGATGGCATGAGCCCATGGCTACATTTGGATGATCAGACCTTAGCTTAAATAAGACAGGATATGCATGAATTTGGTATATCTGCATGTAGTCTCTTTGCTTCTGATTTGCTTCTCCCTTTGCATGAGCTGTGAAACAAATCAGAAGCCGTGGTTAACAATAGCTTTCATTTCTAAGTGGGAATGACTATAATGGCTTCCAAACAAAATACGACTTGGATGCCTCATTTAAACCATAGTTTAAATCCCGGTTAGAATAAAAAGTTGTATGCAGTTTCACAAACCTCATAATGATCTTGGTTTGTTACCAGTATCTGTTAATATCCCAGCTTACTGACCAGCACCTGTGCTATGTAAATCTCTGCTGAAGGAATATCAGAGAGAATTAATAAAGTAAATTGTTGGTTGAGCTGTCTAATCTCTTTTTTTGTTTGTTTGGTCAGGGGAAATTTAGCTGCCCACATAGCACTGAATAATGATCTTGCTCCTGGCTGCTTAAGAGTGCTAGAAGGCTGCTAAAAATACTTCATTATTAGCAACTGATCTTTTTGAAAAACTTCACAGGCGGTTGCTTTTCAAAATGGTTCTTGCCATTGTATGAGAGAAGCACTAATGTGTGCTGGAAAACAGTGGTGAATGCCATATTAATTCAGTAAGTAATCTTGCCTCAGCAGCTGCTTCACTCTGTCTAGTAAGTAACCCACTCTTGCAAGCTCCTTTAGTAAGTAACCCACTCTTGCAAGATCTTGAGAGCAGTAAAACTGATCTTTAAGATACTTTCTTGGGCAAAAAGATCACCCTACTTTGCTTGTTGTACTGTATGTTGTAATACCCAGGGGAATCCCACCTTGTCAGCTATGATTCTTATTGAATTTGACCTTTCTTACTCTGACTTATGCTAAAGACAGGGCTGATGGCACAGACTCATTCTCCTGCCTTCCCTGCAGCATTTTTCATTCGGTGGTAACATACTTTTGCTAGTTGTAACTGTCAGTCTGATCACATATCTGCAATCAAAAGGATGGCAGGAAATTTTTTAAAAAAGACAAAGCAAGTGCTGCCATATAGTGAGCTGATGTCCAATATTTTTTGGTTCTTCCTTCTGGTGCTACTGATTCTAGTGTTGCACTGCTAATCATGAAAATCCACCCTTGCAAATCACTGCTGTGATTTAGAGTTACTGAGGGCAGATTCCATTAAGATTCAAAGGAAGTTAGCTGTCATCTGGATTTAAATACTCACTGCTCATCTGTTCTTTATAAGATAATGTTTGAAAGGATGGGAGACAATGGCTTTTTGTTGAGAAGCACAGTGCTGTTAACTGCCTAATTTTGCCCGAAGGCCCACAATAATTGGGATTAATGGAAAGCCAGGAGAACTCTTAAGGTCTGCAATCCATATTTTATTTGTCAGTCTGGTAGGGATTGACTTGACTTTTTCCATTCAGTCTCATTTGGCATGGTGCTCCTGGCAGAATTCATGGTATCACATAATGACTGGAACAGATTAAGTAGTTCTGGCTTCTCTATCACTTACGTAAGGCTAGAGAATCCTGGGATTTCTTATGTAGAACCCCTATATTCCTTCATGAGAACTGCTTGGGTTTGGGACTTAAAGCATGTTGCCAAAGCATCCCAAGTCAGTTTAGACAGAAAGAAACACAGACAAAGCACCTCTTGCTTTTACCAGGGGACTGAACGTCGTCCCAGATGAAGAGGTCATTGCCATGTACGATGGATCCCACGTCCCCTTGGAACAAATGAGTGACTTCTATGGAAAGGTAACAATACAAGCTGCTACCTGTAGATGAGAGTTGAAGGTTCTATGTGAAAACATAGGATTTCTTATTCCAATGTCTTGTTATGTATGAATTTACTCTCTTTCAGTACATTTATTGAACAATTAGATGATCTTGTTGTCTAAGAACACATGATCTACGGTAGTTGTTCAGGTCACAGACGGATATGTATTATTTAGTTGTACTTCTGTGTGTTTTCTTTCCTCCAGTCAACTCAAGGTGGCACATGACACTCCCCACTTACTCTTGTGCAGGGTAGGTAAGGCTGAGAGCAACCAGTCCAGATTTACTCAGCCTGTTCCATGCTTCAATGGAGACTATAACCCGGACCCCTCACACCCAGTCCAGCTCTCTTAACTGCTATACCACACTGTCTCTAACCAATCTGTGGAAGGGGAATGGTTGCTTCTTTCAAGGGTAATGCTGCTTGCCTTTCAGTCCAGCACAGCAGTCCACTAAAGCCAATTTAAACACAGGTATCAGCAGTCCAAACCGTTCCAGAGGAGATGCAGTGGTGAAGCTTGCAGGAGGAAGAGCAAGATACTTAAGCACTTCTTACAATTTTATCAGAGAGGACAGCCAGGGAGGAGAAGAAGAGTTACAGGCTCCACAGAGGGGGACTTGGAAGACCTAAGTGTATGAGCACAGCAGATGGGGGACATGTGGCCACGAGCAAGGCTCTAGGAGTGGCAGGACTGTGAGCAACCCCAAGCTTGTACGCGGCACAACCCTAGAGGCAGTCCTAGACCACACCCCACACAAGGAAGCCTGGGGGATCTGGAGCTTAATGTTAGCCATTCTGCCCACATCCCAACAGGACACTGTGCCAACTTGGACAACCACAAGGAGGGGCTATTGGTGGTCTTCCCTACTACTGGGGAAAACATGACACTCAAGGCTTGAGAAAGGCCGTGTGGCCGATGCTCACAGTACTATGGGGTAGGAGCAAAGCCCTACTTAGCCTGACTGAGCCTTGCAACAACTTTCTTGTGAGATTGTCACTTGTGTGCGAGTGGGGGGCAGGGAAAATGGCAATCCTAATACTCAGAGACCACTGGTAATGACGCGACTAAAAAAAATATAATAAAGAAATAAATATTTGCCTTCTGCCATCCTAGTATTTACTTTCTAGGAAATCTGTTGTACTTACCTGTTGCCAGTAAATGTGCTTGCATCAACTGGAAGGATTCTCTTTCCCCATAAATAAGGTGCTTCCCTAGGACTGGGAGCCTCACAACACCCTTTAAAATAAGTTAATAGAGATAGGAAAGGTTACTTTTCTGGACTAACTCTCAGGGTACCAGAATGCCTGTATAGCTGCATGTGGCTGTTGGATTCAGGCAGTTATCTTTTTATTTTTAATAACGTATCTTTTTTCTACCAAGTATATATTTTGAAGAGGGACTTCTAAAAGTGTGGGACCCGTACTGAAAACACTCCACTGATGTGTCCACAGACCTGAGTCTTACAAAGTTAGTTCCTAGTTAGTATTCTTTCATGTCACTCTTTCCCTTTAGTCTATTCACTATAGAGGTACGTGAGGAATAAAAATGAAGGCTTTGAAAAACTCATGATTTTTGTCTGCATATGAATACATTTATTTACTGCACACCTCTGAGTCACGTATGCTTATATGCAGAGCTCACATGGTAACACCATGAAGCAGTTCATGGATATCTTCTCTTTGCCTGAGATGACACTCCTTTCGTGTGTGAATGAATATTTCCTCAAAAACAACATAGACTATGAGCCGGTTCATCTATACAAAGACGTGAAGGTACTGGGCTGTTCTTGTGCAATCCATGCATTTCTGCTCTCTCTCTCCCTCTCACTTTTTAATTTTTTTTAAAATATGGAGCTATTTTTGTCTTCGTTTCCAGATACATATTCTTGACATATCAGGTAAAACCAAAAGAAAATAAAAAATAAAGAAGACAAAAATATTGTGGCACCTTAAAAACCAACTGTTGTATTTTAATGTAAACTTTCATAGACAAGTCCACTTCCTTTTCACGAAAGAAAGAAGCTTTTAGGTCTTTATTTTTTGTTTGTTTTTGCCTGATATTCTGACATGCTGTTTTTCTTCCTTTGCCAACTCCCATATTCTGAAACACAAATAAACAAAGTAACAATTGCAAGGTAACAAATATTACAGTGGTGCTTTGCTTAACGATGTTAATAGGTTCCCAAAAAAACATCGCTATGGGAAAACATTGCTAAGCGAAACACCATTTTCCATAGGAATGCATTGAAAACCGGTTAATCCGTTCCAATGGGAACGGATTACCGTCCTTAAGCGAAAATCGCCATAGGAAACATTGCTAAGCGAAACAATGTTTCCCCCATTGGAATGCATTGAAGCCTATTCAATGCATTCCAGTGGTTTTGACAGGTCCGTTTCACAGCTGTCAAACCTACAATTCAATGCATTCCAATGGGGGGGAAAATTCACCAAAAATTAACGAAGAATCAGAACAAAGCCAAATTAAGTTTGCAAAGGTTTTACAAGGTGCACTAACGATCCCAAGCATTTAAAACAGTTTTTGAACATTTTAAGACACACTTAAAATAGCGAAAACGGACATTGCTAAGCGAAACGGGGACCTAAACTGTCATCGCTAAGCGAGGCAAGGTCCCGAACATCGCTATGTGAAATTTCCCCATAGGGAACATCGTTAAACAGAGCGCAAAATCGCTCCAAAAACCTCATCGCTAAGTGAATACATCGTTAAACGAGGCAATCGCTAAGCGAGGCACCACTGTATATTGAAATACAGTAACCTAGACAAACCAGACAGATTTCTTCTACAAACTTATGGCTGCTGGGTTTTTAATATGAATGATAAGAAGCTTTTAGTTTTTTCTAAAGTCTGGCTGGAGAGGAGCAAGTGATACAGTTCTTTTCTTGTTATGGAAATCTGAATTGTTGCAAAAATGTGCTGACTTAGCAAACTAGGTTTCTAATTTTTATGGCTACAAAGCTGGGCTAGGAAATCTATGAACACCTGATTGAAATCTTGTGTTGGGAGGGTAAATGGACTTTGCATAGATAGACCATGGAAAGGATTCTAGGGAGCCACTTTACTCCCTGTGAGTAGTAGGGGTGATGTTATTCACACAGAGCAACCATATATGCTCTTAACTTGTATCATCTATACTGCAGAATTTCAGCTACTCCTGGTGCAGGATTGGTTTATCTGAGCACAAAATTACATTTAATAAAACAGTATGAATACCTCAGCTATTGGCTCTTGATATGGCCTTGTTAACATTCGTAAATAACTTTTCTCTAGCTTTTTACTTCATGTGAATGTTCTTATACCTGTGTCTTTGTTTGAACAAACTGCTTTCAAAAACGGATCTTCTGGTTTACATCTTGTGTCTTTTTGTTCTGTGTATAAAAATATTTCTCAGCTCTGGTACAGCATGCCAGGCTCTGTTTTTATCTGATACCAGAAGAAAACAGCAGAATGTTTTTACTAGCTCAGGACACCTGTGAGTGGAATCATGGTTCTAAGACCCTGTCTTTCCTGCTTTCTCTATTTCTGAGAGTCTTCCTTGACAGTGATAGATCATGGAAGAATTACTGGCATTTCAGAATCCCATCTTGCAGCCTGGGGGGAATTCTGGGGATTCTACTCCAAGGAGTTAACTTTTCCAAACTCTGTCCACTGTCTTGCACTGGAGTACATTGGGTTTTACATACACTAAACTGCCTGGCAGTGAGCCAAAAATACAGAAGTCATGACATTGGTTGATGAGTGACAGGTGCCTAGTTTGCTTGACACATTATTACATGTCAACGAAGTTTCCAAAGAAGTTTGGAAAATAGAGTCATGCTGTGTAACGTTATGGTACTTTCCTTGACAGGATGGTTGATGAGTGACAGGTGCCTAGTTTGCTGACACATTTTTACATGTCAATGAAGCTTCCAAAGAAGTTTGGAAAACAGAGTCATGCTGTGTAACGTTATGGTAATTTCCTTGACAGGACTCGATCAGAGATGTCCACACCAAAGGAATAATGTACCGTGCAATTGAAGCAGATATTGGTGAGCATTAACGAGTGTTTCTGAAGAGAGAACACATTCTTCTCATTTTTAATGCTGTCAAGTGGTCATCTTTGAATTCACACTCCCCGCCCTTCCTCCCCGCTGTCCGTCACATGTGCCATTGCATGCTGTGCAGCAGCGATCGGTTTGAAGGAACCGAGGCACTTGGTGCTGGGGGCGGAGTTATAGCCAGTGTGTGGGAGGTCTCGGCAACATGTGCTTGAGCTAGAAAATTCCGAGGCTGCTCCATTCAAGCACGGATTAACCCATTAGTATGAATTCACAGATGACTACTCGAGAAAATTCCGAGGCTGCTCCATTCAAGCATGGATTAACCCATTAGTATGAATTCACAACTCAAGGAACCAGAGTTACAGGTAGGTAACCTCTTTTTCATCCTAGTGCATAAGAACTTTGAAAACCTCTTGCCCAATGTTAGCAGTGTTTGACTCTTGGCATCCAGTGATTCTCATTCAGAATAGGTTCTCTTCAAAGGATTCCTGGGGTGAGTTCAGAGACTTTTGAACTTCCTTCCACCATCACCCACAAATCTGTGATAACCAACAGGGATTCAGTAAACTGTATTTGAGTTATTTAATTGTAAAATGTTTTCCGTGATACCTTCAGCATGTTCTGGACAAACTATTCTGCCACACTGTGGGTGATCACGGAGCAAAGGAAGGCTAATTGCCTTAGAGAGAGAACAAAGGAGTTGACAGCGAACGTCCAAGCCAGCGGAGCCTACTGGCAGTGCCATGAGAGTTTTTATTTATTTAGCATGATTACATAGTATGTTATGAGAGAAACAGATAGGATACCTAATTGTAACTAGAATTGGCTAAAATAACCCTTTGATCTTATGCTCTGCCTCTAAGTGAAAGGGCAGAATATGGGGTTACCCTGCCTACTGGCAGCTACCGCTTCCGGCCAGGAGTGTTTGCACATCACTGGAACAGCATGCAGCTACAACCTTTAAGCATAAGTTTCCCACACCACACCCAGAGGCACAACTGATTTCTGTAAGGGGGTTCTTCACTGGTTATTTGAAAAATGTTTACGTGAATGCACACTGAGTTGTGAATTCTTATGGATCCTGTATTCCTCGCATGATGATAATGTTATAGTAGAAGTTGGAACATATGTTCCTTCTGTGAAGATAAAAATGTGGCTAGGCAGGATGACTCACAAGCCCTTTGATGCTCAAGTTGCAAACAGGCTATGTTTATTAACAGTGAAATTTCTTCAGATGTCTTAGTATTTATGTTTAGACAATTCAGAAATTCTGTGCACCATAAAAAGGCTTCAGAATACCAAGATGTCTAGATCTGTAGTTTGGTGTAGTTATAAATTGTGGTTTTTCAGGAACAATTTAAAAGTCTTTACAAACTGTTAGGCAGTATTTAAGAAGCATTCTTACATGCAGAACATCTTTCAAAAAACTAACCACAGCACCTGCAATAGTGCCACTCTGTATAGTTTTATGCTGGCTGTTCATATCACTCTTTCTACAAACAGTGTTCAAGACTGCTTGAATTAAACTAATTAACATTGTCACTGGGATGACATATCTTTGACTTAGATGTTACACAGACATCGAATATGTTTCTTTGCTTTGATTATTTGTTAATAGAGCTAGAACTATTTGTAACTTTCTTATTCTTCTCTTTCCTTCTCCTGTAGAAAAGTATGTTTGCTATTCTGAGCAAACACGTGCGGTGCTAGCAAAGCTGGCTGATCATGGCAAGAAGATGTTCCTCATCACAAACAGTCCTAGCAGCTTTGTGTAAGTTTATTGCTCTGTATATCTTTTTAAAAAAAGATCCAAGTGGTAAACTTCAGTCTCAAAATACAATCCGGTTTATGTTTGTGTGACTAAATGTGGATCTTTTTCATGCAGGGACAGAGGTATGAGGTTCATTGTTGGGAAAGACTGGAGGGAGCTCTTTGATGTAGTCATCGTCCAGGCTGAAAAACCAACCTTTTTCAATGACAAGAGAAGGTGAATGATTCTTCTTAAAGTATGATTAACCAACCTGTAGTATAGGTACCAGGCAAGGGGCTTATGGTATACTAGGAGAAGAGTAACAATAGCTTTGGGAGGTCACCATAGCAGAGATGCTGTCTGAACTGTCTCTTGAGCAATCTGTTGCTAGTTGATCCTCACATTGGTAGTTTAGAAACAAAGCTAAGTAAAGACATGGGAGGAGAGGGGAAAGGAGGGCTGCCTGCAGAAATAAGTTTCTTCTAGAGCATGCATTCATCCCATGTTTTTGGAAATCTGTTCCACCTTTTTATTCTGGAACATAGCAACAAGTAGAGCTGCTAAGGCATATCTTGGTGTCTCATCTCATTATATTCAGATCTGAATGTCAGTAGTGGCAGAGTTCCAGACTGAGGGTGCAACAAGAAAATGGCAAAATCCTTAATCCAGCTCAAGAAAAGCAACCTTTGAAAATAGAAAATAGAAAACATTAAATTGGATCTACTGCTACCATTCTCTCTTACAGATAAAATAAATAATGTTTCTCTTGAGAGAAATTAAAATCTACTTTGGTGAGAGGGGAATCAGTAAATTCTAGCTCCACACATTGAGTTTATTTATTTATTTTGGATTGACTTTTTGGGCAATTGGGGGATTGATCTCCTTTGTCTCCTTTTTTTTTCAAAAGACCTTTCCGTAAGGTGAATGAACGAGGTGTTTTGCTTTGGGACAAAATTTATGAATTGCAGAAAGGCCAAATTTACAAACAGGTATGTTTTGACTCTTAAAATATTTCTACTCCACTTTTCTGCCTGGAGCAGAACCTTCAAAAGGGCGCCAAGACACAGAGACCAAAACAAAGCAGTCTTAAAACAACAGCACTGAAAAAATATTTAGATGCATCATTTGTAGGTGTATTTTATACTGAATCCTGCTGTTGCTTCATAATGCTACAGAAAGTATAGATAAGGTTCTCTATGTTGTATAAATGATTGGTTGCTTATTAGAACATTTAGCTTAAAGATACAACAGCAGTGCATATATGAACTCTGAGTGTTCAAAGCTCAAATTCATTGTCAGCCAAGAACTTTCTTGTAAATTATTCTGCTTTTGTTTTTCATCTGTAAAATTAGATTTTCCTTTCTGGTGCTAAATTCTTTCAGTCTCTTCATTGGAAGAAAGGCAGCTTAGAAATAAAACAAACACCACCACACAGGCAGAATAAAATAAATATATAAGACAGATTCTTGGTGTCTTTCTCCCCATATACCCTCTTGGGCATACAGTTATATTATAGGGAAAGATCTGTAGTTCATTTGTAGAAGACATATATTTGCATACTCAAAACCCGTCTACCTCTCCACTGGTTACACCAAGAGCCTGACTTAGCACTGGGCAGCTTCGTATGTTCCACTTTGATCCCTGATGGCATGTCTTATACATGGAAAGAGTATTAGCCCCAGGTTGGTATTTAAAGTGGGCCGTGGTCCAAAAATGAAAAAACAACAACACTTTAGTCTATGCTTTGCGTTAAAGGAAAGCATTTCTTTTTATTGTAGAAGACAAAATTCAGTCTTGGACAGCACCAGTCAGGGGGCTAGGACGGATCAAATAAGTTGGCATTTTCCAAGATTTTATTTTAATTTTGCCTACCTTTGACTGGTTTTCTCACAACTCAGATCACCACAGGAATCTCCGGTCCATCGCTCCTGTCTCTCTTGCACCCTGAGCAATAATTGTTTTTTTTTTAAATCATAGAAACGTTTTAGGAAAAGAGAAGCAAGACAGTCTTTGGTGTGCGTGAGAACAAATAGCGTAAAGACCAGCGTTCTCTGTAGGAATGGAGATGATTTGTGATAGCAGGGAACATTTTGTGCTAGTGAGAGAACTGTGGTCTGGTTTCCTCCTGAAAAGCAAAGCTGTCTAAGCCCTACCTTTTGTTTATGGCTCCTAACATTTATCTTTCCTCCCGGTTTTGTAGGGTAACTTGTATGAATTTCTGAAACTAACAGGCTGGAGGGGATCCAAAGTCTTGTATTTTGGTGACCATATTTACAGCGATCTAGCAGTGAGTAGTCTCTTCCCTCCTTACTTCATTGATGGTGTTAATTAAATAATTGGTTTTGTAAATCTGTGAGGTGTAAAAGAATAGTGAGTAGTGCTGCGTTTCTGCCATTAAAGTGGTAACATCGCTGGTGGGATTACTTTCCTGTTTAAAGTCATGCAAGCTTCTTATTTCACCTGCCATGTCATTTTTGTGTTTGTTTAGTGGTTGTTAAGAAGAAGTTCACAGGGCAGATGAGTTTCTGGTCTGGGCTAGATTGTGGGTGGGCTGAAAGAGAAATAATTATAGTTCAAAATGGCATCTGCAGCCTATTGGTATAAATATTTAAATGGAAGACAGTAACCCTCCTTTGGGTACAAGTATCTTAAGCTGCATAAGTATCTCACAGGTTACTTAATTATGAAGTGCTGTTTTTGTTCACATCTGACTGTTCTGCTTCTTCCTCCTTTCCACAATTCCATGGCACTGTAAAGGCAGCAGGAAAGCACCGTTCTGTATTTATGTATGTAAATCAGGCAAAATAATACCTCCTTGTATCTAGAGAAGGTTAAGGAGGAGATAACATGAAAAGAAACAGATGGTTGTATTTATTGTTATGTGGAAATACTGCTCAGTTTGTTAAACACCGTTTGACTGGTGCCCGTTGTTGTTCCCAGCTTTAAGAATTCAGAATTTTAGGCAAGGGAGTCTCCTTACCTACCCTTTCATCGCTCTCTTGGTGAACTTTAAAAATGTATGCTATTACAAATATTAAAACTTTCCATCAAGTTATTAAGGTAGTTAAAGCAATATCCAGAATCAGATCTTAACAGCTGAAACTGGTGAAGTGCTTGTATGGTATACAGATGGACACATAGGTGGAAGTGCCGTGTTAGGGCAAACAATCCCGGTACAGTTTCTGTAGACACTGTGGCTGATACCCTATGATGACTACTTGCATCCATTTGTCACTTCCATAAAAGTGTTGTAATACTTGAAGTATGCTGTAATGTGCAGAATAGTGTGATTGTATGATGATCCTTTGTCAGCCTCAGAACTTTGTGGAGGAGCCCTTTAATATCCGTTCTGTGGAGTTTCATGGAGAAGCTGTTGGGTGAGATCAAAGTACCAAGGAGCCTCAGAACTTTGTGGAGGAGCCCTTTAGCATCCGTTCTGCGGAGTTTCATGGAGAAGCTCTTGGGTGAGATCAAAGTACCATGTTTAGCTGTGCTAATCCTAAACATTTCCTTTTGGTGCGGATCCCCAATATACAGTACTCAACAATTACTACTTGGTGTCTTCAAAATAAATTTGTATTGTTGTTTTAATTCTGTAATTTGACCTGGGGTAACATGTTCTGAATGTGGATGGGCCCTTCCTGATCATGTGAGGTTTTGTTCCTGCATCTCTTTACATAAAAGCCTTGCACCAGGAAGAACACACATCTAGTTCTGCTTACAAGTGGAACCATGATCATTTTTGTAGTTTTTTTTGGGGGGGGGCTGTTTGGCCATGTTTTGGAGGTTTTTCTTCCTAATGTGTCGCCTGTCTCTGTGGCCGGCATCTTCAGAGGACAGGAGTTAGAACTCTTGTCTGTGTAATAGTTACATCATGATATCATGATAGTTATATCAAACCCTTTCTACTGTACTATTTGTAGTACTTATTTTAGTACTGCTTATACGTATAAGAATTTGTAGAACAACACTAGCAGCTGTTTTCTTCCTTCTACTAGCCCTTTGGTGTAACCTTTAAAAAGAGAATAAGGTGTTGTGCTCTACAGTGAGCATAATAGAATTCTGGTAACTTATAATTGTCATTGCCGTGTCAGTGTTGCTGATTTATGTATGGTACAAGCCTAAATTTGTTTACTCCTTGGGCTTCAAGTGAGTTTGCATAAGCTTGCAGTTTTTGCCTGAAACTCTTTATTACAAGAGCAAAAAAAAAATGTTCTTGCTCTGAATAAGCAGCTTAATGCAGATTCTGTTAATATTTCACCATTTCTAATGTACAATCCTCCTTCACGGATTGCTGCCTTGTTGTGGCGAAGCGGCTTGAGTAATTCAGAGAAGCTATGGGCTATGCCATGCAGGGACACCCAAGACGGACAGGTCATAATGGAGAGTTCTGACTAAACACGATCCACCTGGAGTAGGAACTGGCAAGTCACTCCAGTATCTTTGCCAAGAAAACTCCATGGACAGAAACAAAAAGTTAAAAGATATGACACTGGAAGATGAGTCCCTCAGGTCGGAAGGTGTCCAGCATACTACTGAGGAAGAGCGGAGGACAAATATCTCCAGAGCTAATGAAGTGGTTGGGCCAAAGCTGAAATGATGCTCAGCTGTGGATGTACCTGGAAGTGAAAGGAAAGTCTGATGTTTCAAAGAAAAATACTGCATAGGAACCTGGAATGTAAGATCTATGAACCTTGGGAAGCTGGATGTAGTCAAACAGGAGATGGCAAGAATAAACATTGACATCCTGGGCATCAGTGAATTAAAATGGACAGGATGAATTCAACAGATCTACTTCTGCTTCATTGACTATGCAAAACGCTTTAACTGTGTGGATCACAGCAAACTATAGCAAGTCCTTAAAGAAATGGGAGTGCCTGACCACCTTATCTACTTCCTGAGAAATCTATATGTGGGACAGGAAGCAACAGTTAGAACTGGATATAGAACAACTGATTGGTTCAAAATTGGGGAAGGAGTGTGACAAGGCTGTATATCGTCTCCTTGCTTATTTGACTTATATGCAGAATACTTCATGCAAAAGGCTGGACTGGATGAATCCCAAGCCAGAATTAAATTGCCGGAAGAAATATCAACAACCTCAGATATGCAGATGATACCACTCTGATGGCAGAAAGTGTGGAGTAATTAAAGAACTTCTTAATGAGGGTGAAAGAGAAGCGCGGAAAAAATAGTCTGAAGCTCAACATCAAAAAACTAATCATGGCCACTGGTCCCATCATCTCCTGGCAAATAGAATGGGAAGACATGGAGGCAGTGACAGATTTTACTTTCTTGGGTCCATGATCACTGCAGATGGTGACAGCAGCCACGAAATTAAAAGATGCCTGCTTCTTGGGAGGAAAGCAATGACAAACTTTGACAGCATCTTAAAAAGCAGAGACATCACCTTGCTGACAAAGGTCCGCATAGTCAAAGCTACAGTTTTTCCAGTAGCGATGTATGGAAGTGAGAGCTGGACCATAAAGAAGGCTGACTGCCGAAGAATTGATGCTTTTGAATTGTGATGCTGGAGGAGACTCTTGAAAGTACCCTGGACTGCAAGGATAACAAACCTATCCATCCTGAAGGAAATCAACCCTGAGTGCCCACTGGAAGGGCAGATCCTGAAGCTGAGGCTCCAATACTTTGACCATCTCATGAGAAGAGAAGACTCCCTGGAAAAGAACCTGATATTGGGAAAGTGTGAAGGCAAGAGGAGAGGTGGATGACAGAGGATGAGATGGTTGGACAGGGTCATCGAAGCTACCAACATGAATTTGACCCAACTCCAGGAGGCAGTGGAAGACAGGAGGACACGACTTAACAACGAAACAACAAAAATGTACAATCCTTTCCCTAATATATTTGCCTTTCTTTGCTTTGGACATAAAAGTACCTCATAGCTCAGGTTTGGTTCCTTAGCTTTAAAATCTCCCTTCCCCACTCCTCATTTTTTAAAATCTTGGCTGTTTCATTATTAGTGTGATAACAAAGCTGAGCACTGCTTAACTTAGCTAATGCTTATATATAAATAGGGGTATTTTAAAAATGGTGTTTAGGGTGAAACAATTTGGAGTATGCTTTAAATTGTCTTAACACTAGCACTTTGTGTTTTGCAATCCTGATTGACAAAATAGGATTTGACCTTAAAGCACGGCTGGCGAACGGGTGCGATTATTCCAGAGTTACGAACAGAGATTAAGATCATGAACACAGAACGTTATATTCAGACCATGACCTGGCTTCAAACTCTTACTGGATTACTAGAACACATGCAGGTTTGTTTTGTTCTGTTCTATCCAATCATCCTTTCTGTCTAGATTTTTCCTAGATTCCTCTGAGCATTTGTTTGCTGGTACTGCAAGCGCAATTAAAATATGTAGAATGCAAACCACTGGAATGGATGTTTATAAAACTGATTTATAATAGAAATTAAACGTAAGCCTTTCCCCCCCATTGCATAGTCATATGGAAAAAATTAGGAAATCCTATTCCACTGAAGCAAACCAGTAATGCTGCCTTACGAGAAGTAATCTGTGAAATTACAGTGATTATGTCAGGGGAAATCACAGTTTTAGAGAATAATTTATCTGTAGAGCACTGAAACCACTTTCGATCTCAATGTGGTGTGCTGGATAGATGGACTAGGACCTTGGAGGACCCTAGTGGACACTCACCAGGTGTATGTGTGTATGCAACTTGATGGCATATACCAATAGCAATGCATAGGTTTTTTTTTTAAGGGGTAAAAAGTTGGACTGCTGGCCATGTGACCACGGAAAGATTGTCTTCGGACAAACGCTGGCTCTATGGCTTGAAGAGCGGGATGAGCGCCGCCCCCTAGAGTCGGATACGACTGGACAAAAAATTGTCAAGGGGAACCTTTACCTTTACCTTATGTCAGGGGAATCACAGTTTTAGAGAATAATTTATCTGTAGAGCACTGAAACCACTTTCGATCTCAATGTGGTGTGCTGGATAGATGGACTAGGACCCTGGAGGACCCTAGTGGACACTCACTAGGTTTAGGTGTGTATGCATCTTGATGGCATATACCAATAGCAATCCATAGGGTTTTTTTTAAGTGGCAAAAAGTTGGACTCCATATCCTTTTACTAGTCCTTAATGCTGTGACTTTATGAGATGTATTACTGAGTTTTTATTTCAGTAATATATATTTTTTTATTTTCTTTAAACAGAAATTACAGTGGTGAGAAATGCTTCATAATTCTAGTCCTATTCAGAATATAGCTAAATTGAATGTAGCCCTCCCCTTCCACCATCACTCCCCTCATATGGACAGCCACCATCTAAAAAGCAGGACCTCTGCCATGTGTAGGTCTCAATATGTCCCAGGATCTGAAAAAAGTGGAGTTCTTGATCACACGAAGAACCTCAACCCATAAAAGAGTCTCTCTTTTTCCAATTCTTCCTCCACCACATGATGAAGGGTACTTGGAGTAACCATCTCCTCCTCCCTTGGGGTGGTGGTGTTCAGTTAAACCTTGTTATGAAGAACCGAGTAAGATTTCTGGGTCCTGAAATTTTTTTAAAAAAAGCAAAACTTTCTCAGTTCTTCACTCACATTTTCTGTCAAATTTTAATAGTATGCAAACAGGGCATGGAGGCAGGGCCACAGTAAGATATTTTTGTTCTTGTTTGTGGCGTCTGTAATGATTTCAGTAATATATATCGGGAATGAACTGCCGAACCCATGGTTCATGGTGGTTTGTGGGTTTTTTTTCCTTTTTGCCAAATGGGTGTTTGGTGCTTCCCAGGCGGCTACAGTAAGATATTTTTGTTCTTGTTTGTGGAGTCTGTAATGATATTGCAATGGGAATCCGGGAATGAACTGGTGGTTTGTGGGTTTTTTTTCCTTTTTGCCGAATGGGTGTTTGGTGCTTCCCAAGCCCATGCTGCCTCTGAGAGTGGGCACCTGTTGGAGGAGGCAGGAAGCACTGAACACCTCTTTGGCTAAAAAACAAATAGGCCCAGCTCCCGCCAACCTAGCGGTTCGAAAGCATGCAAATGCAAGTAGATAAATAGGGACTACTTTGGTGGGAAGGTAACAGTGTTCCGTGTCTAAGTCGCACTGGCCATGTGGCCACGCAAGATTGTCTTCGGACAAACGCTGGCTCTATGGCTTGGAAACGGGGATGAGCACCGCCCCTAGAGTCGGACACGACTGGACAAAAATTGTCAGGGGGAACCTTTACCTTTACCTAGGCCCATGCTGCCTCTGAGAATGGGCACCTGCTGGAGGAGGCAGGAAGCTCTGAACACCTCTTTGGCTAAAAAACAAACAGGCCTGAACCACTGGTTTGGTGGTTCATGCCCATCTTTATACTACAAAATCTAATGTTCTCTTTGCTATCATTTCAGGTTTACAGGGACCCTGACTCTCAACTTATTCTACAAGAATGGAAGAAGGAAAGAAAGGAAATGAGGTAAACATTAAAACTGGAGACTTGTTTCAAAATGTGAAAAAAAAAACTTATTTTAGCTTTCAGTAAAATAATTTGCTGTATTTTTCCCAGGTCTTCTGTTAATAGTAATACTGTAGATAGTATAGCAGACAATTCATCCCAGTTGCATCCTTAATCTGTCTATGGGGGGGGGGAGTTTTGTGTTGCCTTTTGTCTTGCAAATTTTAATCAGAAATTTAAGTTTAATCTTACTATTGATGTAGTAGATGATAAGGAAGGACAAGACATATGGCAAACTAGAAGGATGAGCCACCTGCTGCAGGAGATGCCGTTCTGTCCCTTCAGCGCTGCCTGGCGACCGTACTGCAATGGATGCAGGAGAACGGGCTCAGGCTGAACCCGGACAAGATGGAGGTGCTGAGGGTGGGTGTCCCCACAGTGGGGGGTTTGGGAAACTTCCTCTCTTTTTTGGGGGTGACCCTACCTGCCAAGGATGGGGTCCGCAGTTTGGGGATCCATCTGGACCCAGCGCTCACTATGGAATCCCAGGTGGCGTCTGTGGTCCGAACCGCCTTTTATCACCTAAGGAGGATAGCCCAGCTGCGGCCCTATCTTGATGTGGGGGCCGTCACTACCTTGGTACATGCGCTCGTAATCTCAAGATTAGACCACTGCAATGCGCTCTACGTGGGGCTGCC